GGGTATTGACACTCGTTGATGAACGTTCACCGATCGCTAACGGAAGTCACTCGTCCTGCTCTACCTTGGGTCTCATTTATAGGACCCTGACACCAGCCACAGTGCGAATATTAGTCTAAGTAGATAGTATTGCCGCCAACGGCAAGGGAGACTGGAATGGCCATTTCCGGCGTATTAGCTGTCGTCAGTCAGTCGCACACAACCCCAACTGGTGCTGTCAGGGCCCGAGAAATGAGACCCAAGGCCGAGCGGGACGAGTTAGTTCCGTTAGCGATCGGTGAAAGTTCATCGAGTGTCAATATTTCCCGGTCTGAACTTCTGATCAAAAAGGTCGCGAGTTCGTGCTTCGGGTGCTGCGCCACTAAGGATTGGATATGACTGGCTGATGACGGCTAACAAGCCAGAATTGGCCATTCCATTCTCCCTTGCCTTTACCGGCAATACTAAAGGCTCCGGTTCACAACTAAGGAACGATAAGATGCCGCTAGCACTGCGGACTGTAGCCTATTTTTTAGATCACAGTCCGTGTCTCCGCCTGCGGCCTGCGAGATATTTCTATTCTTGCCAAAGGATCTAAAATGAATCACAATGAAAATATCGGCACAACCATAAAAGGAAACTGGCACAAAATACAAAAAGACATTTGTGCTTAATACTCACACACTAGCCAGTTCACCATATGTGACTTGGTCGCTTTTATGTCCACTAGATGTACTGGGGCATTTGCTACTATTTTTATTAATTATTCTCTCCTTTTGATCCGCCGCCTTGCTACTCCATTATATTCAGCCGTGAATAAGTGGCTAGTGAATTTTCTGTGTCCTAAAGTGCTGGCTTTTGGAGAGAAAAAAGAATTGCTCAGCTAGTACGTAATAATTTATGAAACAAACTAAGTCATACCTTGAAGAACGACCGTTTGTGTGATGCTATAAAAATTTGGGGGACGCGGGATAGGCGGACCATGTGGCAGAATAACTTTTTTGCGGATTTTATTACATTTCAAGAGTAACGATACCTAGTGTAGCTTTCTTTTGTCCTTTCTGACACTCTGGCTACATAGGCAAGCCCATTTTAGCACGACTATCATCAGTTATAAATAATGTGAGGCGCGGTACCACACGCATCTCCCACGATGGAGACCTGTCTGCTTTGAAACGCTGGGACAATATAACTATGACGTCCGAGATAGCCTTTTATTCTTATACATACAGTACGGCCTAAAATTCGTGTAACATGCTGACATAGACGAAAGATTGATACTCTCTTGCTAATCAGTATTGAGTAAGCTTGTAATACTGAGAAGCATGTAGTCTATTCTGAAGTCATTTCAGTCATGATAGGATGCCGGCTTTATAACGAGCTTCGTTCTTAACGCTAACAAAACGTATGTGCTGGAAAAAGTGGCTACTTAAGTAATATGCATTTTATCACTGATTTTGACTGCCTTGATAAATTCGAATATATTTTATGGAAAACATACACTAAAAAATATTCATTTTACTCGTTTGGTACGAAAGTATACCCTCTTAAAATTTTATATTTAAAGAAAGGATATCTTTCGGTTTTAAAAAAGTTTTTAATTATGACCTTTTCTACGATTTTTAGGTGTTCATTCATTATACCTGAAATCCGTCAATTTATTAATGCTGTCTATAATGCATACAGCATGGTCCACATCTACTGCAACGTCTTAGGAGAAAATATGTGACTTCTTCCTCAAACCGTAGACTTACTTTTCCTGAAACAGGATGTACACAGTGCGCAGTTTGTGAACCTTGAATTCAAGCGAAGCAGTCAGTGGGTTTCAAAATTATTCGGCAATTTAGAAATGTTTTTGAGCCTGAGTGTCAGTCCGCAGTAAGCCACTCCACACATAAAAACACACACTGGGCCGAATGCAGTGTCCAAGTTACCCCGTTAGTTGGCAACCCTCCACGCCAGGGCTTTTAACGCACCACGATAGCTTCGAGATTGTTTTTAGGTGAGGAAAAAAATTTGCTGAGGGTCGATCTCACTCTCTCCCCGTGTTGGACCAGCACAGCATGCACAACCAGACTGTGAAAGAAATGAAAAGTAAATGAGCGGGGGTGGGGCTTACTCGGGCATCGGAACCGTTGACCTGTGTCGCCTGGTAGACACCGTAGTCGGCATTGGATGCGCTGTGACCAGCATCACTGCCGCTGCTGCTACTACCGGCAGCAGCAGCAGCAGCATTATCAACAGCTGGCGGGATCTTGGAGTCCACGGCCGCCGTCTCCGCTGAAACGCGCTGCACAGGGCGTGCCAGAATTAGGAAGAAATCCGGCTTGAAGACGGTGGCTTCGATGGGGGCGCCGGGCAGGGACTCACCACCACTAACACCATTTTCATTACTGTCCCCGGAGTAATACCACGTCACATTGAGCCGATCGTCCATCTAAACGTACAGGTGAAAGGGGATTTAGGAGTGGGCGCTGGTTGACAAAAGAAGAACCATTTGGGAAGCGGTGACATAAAAGGCGTGTAGGACGTTGACAAACCCGGCTGCTGCCAGGTCAGTGCAAGCATTTGCAAATAATGTGACAGACCCAAAAAGAGAAAGTAAACTAGAAGCTGCTGGCGGCAGATGCGACAGCTGGTGTAGCCAGGCTTGTGAAATGCGCGGAAACTTATAAAAAAAACTTAGGCAGGACTGTCTCTAGAGGTCCTTTTTGTCTTTGCCTTAAAACAATAACCTACTTTTACATTTTCAGTAACCCGGCTTTTCATGTTTCGTTAAATTCTGCCAATATAAGGTTGGATTTCCCTAAATAGGCATCAGTTGCCTGAGCATTAGGAGTTTATGTTGATGGATTTTATTCTATTGAATACATTGAAACAAAACTATAAGTTTCTTTAAGTGAATATTTTTTGTCAATTCCAACACAATTAAATATGATGAAATGTACCAACAAAGT